ATGTCCTGTGAAAATGACATGGATTGATAAGATTCTGCCTGTCTTCCGGAGGAGACATTGGGTATGTCAACTCTGAGCTGGACAGAGTTCAGCAACACACATGGATTGTCACTCATTCGTGGAATTCTGGAATGCAACATCTCTTATTCCATCCATAGTGCCTTCAAGAGGCAGCTGTTGTGTGAGCACCTCTAGGACGGTGGCAGGGGGGTCCTGATCCATTCAATTACAGTTGTTCAAGGGATGACTGCACAAATTCGAATAAGGGCAAGAAGTGAGTAAAAAGTGAGTGAGAGCAAGGTAGGCTCTCTCATATATTAGAGAGCTAGTGGCTCTGGCTCTGGCTCTGAAGAGGCTGCAGGCAGGGAGGACTGTCTTGACCACATTTGCACAGTTGGTGAGTGGCCCGTCAGGACTAGCATCGGATGCTGCTTCCCAATTCTGCCTCCGTTCGCCAACCATGCCGGCCCAAGGAGCAACCAATTCCATCACGTTACATCCTGGCCCCGAGTATTAAACTTATGCTGGTTCAATTTTTCATTTATTATTCAGGTCCCGCCTTTGTTTTTTTAATTTATTGTAGTATTTATTATATTATTTATTTATTTTTTATTATTCTGGTGCCTCTGAATTTGGAGGTATTTGCGGCACCACTCAAGTTTCCACTCTGCCATTCTCTGTCTCCTGGCGCAGGTACACATTTCTTCAGCTTCCTCACTCTGTACCTCTAGGCAGAGCATCTTCACCCATCTGTCCTCTGGCTCTCTGCGACGGCCATCCCTATTCCTTTCTCGGAGAGATACCTTCAGCTAGGCTCTCAATCCCATCCTCTTCCAGCCCTCAAGGGTGAGGATTCTTTCCATCCCTCGTGATGCTGGGACTGAGTCATTCTCTGGGTAGGCTGTACCCCGTGCTGTGCCAAGGCTGCTCCAGCCGCCATCCTCTGCCTGGGCAACCCTGCTGGGTCTTCCCTCTTCTTTTGTGTGTCTATTGTCATTCATTGACATTCGCTCTTAATATGTTAATGTACATACAGTCGATTTTAGGAGTGGTAAAAGCTCCTTTTAGAAAATACAAGAAAACAGGTTGGGTGCAGTGGCTCACACCTGTAATCCCAGCTCTTTGGGAGGCCGAGGTGGGAGGATCACCTGAGGTCATGAGACCAGCTTGGCCAACATGGTGAGACCCTGTCTCTACTAAAAATACAAAACATTAGCCGGGCATGGTGGCGTGTGCCTGTAATCGCAGCTACTTGGGAGGCTGAGGCAAGAGAATCACTTGAATCAGGGAGGTGGAGGTTGCAGTGAACTGAGATCATGCCACTGTACTCCAGCCTGGGCCACAGAGTGAGGCTCCCTCTCAAAAAAAAAAAAAAAAAAGAAAGGAAAGAAAATATGAGAAAACAAACCATGCAATAAAGCTGAAGTCACTATAGTTCTATATGTATCTTAGGCTACTTCCCCCCCCCAGGTTTTTAAAAAGCAAAATCATAATCCTATAGTATATATATATATATATTTTTTAGACGGAGTCTCACTCTGTCGCCCAGGCTGGAGTGCAGTGGCGCGATCTCGGCTCACTGCAACCTCCACCTCCTGAGTTCAAACAATTCTCTGCCTCGGCCTCCTGAGTAGCTGGGATTACAGGCATGTGCCACCACGTCCAGCTAATGTTTTTTTAGTTTTAGTAGAGATGGGGTTTCACCATCTTGGCCAGGCTGATCTTGAACTCCTGACCTCGTGATCCACCTGCCTCGGCCTCCCAAAGTGGTGGGATTACAGGCGTGAACTACCTCGCCTGGCCATAATCCTATAGAATTTTTAAAAATCCCCAACAGCACATGATATTTCTTTGATTGATTTTAAAAGTCTTTTCTTGGTAGAATATTTAAAATATATAGAAAGGTCCAAAGGAAAATATTTCCTAGAATTTCACCCTACATTTCAATGTACTTCCTTAGGACATTTTTTTCTAGGTACATCTAAAGAGCATACTTTTGGCATGATTCTTGGGAACACCTGGCACAAGAATAGTCACAGCTTCTACATGGAAGAGCACGTAAAGGGGGAGTTTAGCGGTAGGTAACAGCTGCCGTGGGGTGCCTTAGTAGTCTTTATTGATTAAAAGAAAACAATCCTAAAGGGTGTAGGTCATTCCTCTAAAGATGCAATAAAACATTACTCAAGTTTTTGGCAATAAAAATGCCCTAATGCCAAAAACACCACATTATTTTATTTACATATTTCTTGGAAGAAAAAATGCTTTCGTAATTTAATAGTTCTCTTAGTGTTTCAATTGTGTAATCAGCTTAGCTGGAACAGGATGCTGTCATTTATTAGACTGAGAGGCAGCTTCGTTTCCTGGTTAAAAGTAGGATGCCCCTGGCTGGATAGGCTCTGCAAATTACTATCTGTAACTTATTAGCTGGTGATAGTATGAATTCTTATCTTCTCCATCTTCATAATTATCTTAGCAAGAAGCTGGGTGAATCAATGCTAGCAGCCACTACTAGCCAAATGCCTGACAGCTTTCTCCCCTTTCAGAATCCTCTCAGGCTTCCCCAACCTGCACCCTCCCAGGAGTAAAATTAATTTCTCCATTTTTTGTGCTCTCATAGAATAGGTACTTGTCTCTCATAGTATTTATTGAAATGTGTACTGTATTTTTTAAATGTCCATCATCTGTCTCTTCCCTCTTGCCAATACTGTAAGCCTGTGAGCTTATTACTTATGGGGACTTTACAAAAAAAAAAAAAAGCTTTGTGTCTTCAGAGCCCAGCCTGGACCTAGTGAGTGCTTAATACAAATGCCTGTCAGATGCATAAATACTGTTCTCTGGAACTGATTTTCAAACTAAAATGCATAGCTTCCTATTTATTTCTACTGCATTTTACCTTTTGGGCCTCAACATCCCAGGGGTATTTATTTTTACTTGGTTGGAAGATACAACCAAAAAAAAAAAAAAATCAAAACAAAACATAACAAAACTGTGCCTCAGCAGAATGCAGTGATATAACTTACTTGTATGAATATTCCATGTGCATTTAGTCATGTATACAAAAATTACTTGCGAGCGAAGGAGGTGCAGTGGAATTTACAGAAGCAATAATGACCAAATAACAAGGAAGATGTTACTTATTATTATAACGTATTCATGTTTTACAAAAGAGCAAACTGAGGCTCAGAAAGGCCACATGATGAAGGGCAACACAGATTTAATGGCAGAAATAAGACTACAACATGCTATTCAGGGGAAATGATAGCTGTCCTTGAAACACAGTGGGTAAGTATGGGGTGTTACACAAGGCAGCCCTGATGGAGGAGATGTCTCTATCTGAGTCTTGTAGGGAATGGACTAGAAAATAGAGAGATTCCAGGGTAGAGAGCTGTAGTCACTGAGCACATCATGATGCAAGCTCCAACACAGAGTAAGACCCTCCAGAGTGACCAGATGTGTGGCAGAGTAGCACATAGTCACCTTTTGTGTGTAACTTGTAATTCCTTTTCCTCCAAAAGGCGGCAACTGGCTCTTGTGTTGGAGCAGCCTACCGTTTTACGCACTTTCCCTGCAAAATCTATCACCTTCCTCGAATACCTCCAAATTCAGAGGGACCAGAATACGGTTGAAGGAATAATAGATGTGATAAAGAAAAGAAAGATGTTCGAAAAGAAATTGGGTTGTCTATGCATACTATGGTCTGAGTTTTAATAATTCATAATCCCATTAAAATACTAATTCATAATCCACTTAGCATGTGCAGAAACATGAAACATTACTTAAACTATTTTTAAAAGATCTGGGAAAATATTATACATTATTTTAAGTTATTTACTTTGAAGGTATTTAGCATACTAGATATGACAGAAACTTTTGACTTTTTCCATAAGACAGAATATGAGAAGATAAAGGTTTTATTAAGAGTGCCACAATACTTACTGTCAGAACAATTTCAAAGTTAGCAGAACAAAAGGAATTTGGAGAAACTGAAGATTGTAAATGAAAAACTTCCAAGGCTCGTGTTCGAGAATTGTGCATACTGTGTGTTTTTGGCATGCTTTAAATTCATGAGTCTGCTATAAAAATTCTGCAAACTTTTTCATAAGGCTTTTGCATCCCTAATCAGTTTCTAAGTGTTATCAGTTAATAAAATGTATTTCATAACAAACATTTGGTAAATATTTAGCGTACTTATTGAATTGCACTTACCTCAGGTTTTTTATTCTTTTTCCTCCACTTCTAAAAAAGCATGCTGTAGATTTCAGGAGAAGTTGGCAGCCACACAGATGTTGAAGTGTGAATTTTGGATGTTTGCAGGTTGTAAATATGTGGAATTTTGATCGTGAATGGGAATTTAACATTACAACCTTACATGGTTGGAAAGATTCTGCAATAGCAACAATTTCACATTTGCATAAACAGCTTTATTATAGTTGGAGTAATATATAGAAAGAACACAAATTACTCTGACCAGAGTTAAACCTATAAAGCAATCACATTTGAATGAGGATTTTACTTAAAATCATAGACTCATCAACTTTAAAGTGTTTTTATCTTTCACAAGAGACAAATTTAGCCTGTTATGAATAAAATCCCTTAATATCTGCATTTTCTGGCTGGCATATGTACATTGCCTCAGTGGAACTTTAAAATAAAACCATACATAGGAAAAAATTAAAAAGAGGCAAATAACGAAAGCACTAGACCAAAAAAATGTATTTTTTACATCAACTAGTAAAATAATTGTCAAAAGTGTTTGCTTTAATTGAATTTTAAACCTAGAATCTTTTTCAGCTCTTGATTTCACTGTAAGAGTACAGGGAGTACAGAAACAGCTAGAACCTTTTGAAATTTACCCTTCTCTTACCTTTTGTTAATGTTATACCATCTCTGTCACTTTGCTTGGTGGAGGTATAGTTTTGATTGTGTAATTTTACAGGTATTTTATTAAAGTATTCAGGAAGTTAGGTAGCTACATTCCAAATGCAACAAATTACAACGTGTTCTTGATTAATCAGAATGCTTTATGACACATCTTTTCAAGCCTCAGGTTGAAACAATTTGTATATCCCCATCAAAGGTGTGATAGTCATTTGAAGAATTGTGCAAGTTAGTTCAGCATTTCAGATAAATGTTGGATTAATTATTTGGCTCCTAGGAAACTTCACTCAGGCATGTCTTAGTTGCATACTGTTTGAAAATAAAAAGCAATTGAACTGAGAAATACAAATATAGTATTGCATGATATTGCTATTTTTATTGTAACTCTAAGTCAGTTTTAGATAGCAAAACTCCGAACTTCAATTGAGGAAGCCTTTATAGTTTTTAACTGGTTATTAACTCCATCTCTTAAAAATATTAATTTGTAAATTTGAAGGGAATCAAACAAAATTATCTAATCACTTGAAAGTTGGTAAGACCGTTTAGAAGAAAAGCACTCATATACAGAATGTTATTTCTCTAGTCTCATTCACATTGATGCTTGTCAAACCTTTTCTCATTTCTATATATTTTACCCACTCTTAAAACACTGAATGGAGTTTTGCTGCCTTAAATTCAGAAGTGGAGTGTTAATTCAGGAGAGAGAGCAGCAAAAATGTGAAAGTCTTTGTATTTCTCTCCTGACTAATCAATGGCTTATACAGATATGAGGGAAATAAATGCATGTTCCCAGTTAGAGTTCTTTAAAAGGAAGGATGAGGAAAGACGAAGGGAATATTACTAATGCTTCTCCAAACATTAGCTGGAGATTGGAGTATATCTCAGCTGATTTTAGTCTTTACTTTAAATTTGAAAACTGAAAGAAAGCTAGAATTTAATAATAATAGGTAGCATTTATGGAAAGGTGTCTGCGGGTTCTCACATCTTTACACCTATAATCTCATCACATTTTTAAGCACAACCCTATGAGGGAGGAACAGATATTACCCCATTTTACAGGTTGATTAACCTGGGAAGAGATAAATTATGGAAGCTGTCAATGGTTATTCTGCAAGCATTATGATCCCAGGCAGTCTGCCTCTAGAGTACACACTCCATTGAAATCTATGTGACTGCATCTTGTTTCCAGCCCCAAGCAAAGGGCATGACAAGTAATTCTGAACATCATTCATATCTTATAGATGATCTGAAAATAAAGATAAGGAAAAATAATTTAAAATCACATGGGATTCCAGGATCCAATGACAATAATGGTGTAGTTTTTGGAATGTGTATTTCAGGGTTTTCAATACTTGTGGACATACCTGAACATTTGCGTACATTTGCCGACCTCTCAGCTTTTCTCAGGAGAACAATACTCGTTGACTGATCAGTCAATAAATCCCTGTTGCTTCTCACCATGGAGTGTTCCACACAGAGTAGCCCAGATAAGAAGCAGCTCAACAGCAAACCAAAGTTTTCAAATGTCTGTCTTTGTGTGTGTGTGTGTGTGTGTGTGTGTGTGTGTACGTATTTTGCCCAAATTGTTGCTAATCTTCTTCTGTGTCCACACTATTGTGACATGGGAGACATTTCTTTCTCCACAACCTGTTATAGGGCAGTCTCATGACTCCATTTTATTAATGGTTGCTTTAGAGGTTGATGGCTCAGATCCTGGAGGTATTCTCAAGGGCTTTCCAAGTAAATTTTTGGGTGTCAAGTAACACACATTTAACCCAGATGATCTTAAATATACTTTCCAAAATTTGTTCTGGCCCCTGCCGGCCCCCTGCCTCTTTCTCTTTCTATGGCATTTCTTAGGACTTTTCACCATTGATTTCCAGTTAGTGGTCTTCCAGCTGCATTGTGGGATTGCATTTTCTGGCCTCACATGTGTGGTCATGTGACAGATTCGAGCCAATGAGGTACAGCATTCAATTGCTAGTGCAAGACCCTCTAGGGCACTGTGGCTCCCACAGATTTGAGTCAGGTGTGTAATTTTAAAGTTTCTGGTAACACATTAAAAATGTACAAGAAACAGGTGAAATTAATTTTAACAATATATCTTCTTTAACATATTGAAAATATAATTTCAACATGAAATCAATATAAAATTATTGAGGTATTTTATATCCTTTTATAATTACTGTTTTAATTCGGACAAAGTCTTTGCAATCAGGTATATATTTAGCACTTATATCCATCTCAATTCACCCAAGCCCCATTTCAAGTACTCAATAGAAACATGCGCCAAGTGGCTACTAGGCTGGGGAGGCCAGTTCGGGTGCGCTGTTTGACTCTGCTGCAGTGCGGCCATGTTTGAGGTGGTGACTGTTGTATTCTTGGATCACACAGTGAGGGGATGTGGAGCAGGGCTCCCTGCTGCCAAGAGGACCTGGAGTATGATGAGCACTAAACCTTGGTTGCTATAAGTCTCTAACATTTTTGTGTTTTTGTTATATTACAGCATACGCTACCCTATCCTGCCTGATATTTCTTTCTTTCTTCAAAATGGGACCATGCACTGTCTGTTGTTTCTCACTTGTTTTTGCATCTAACATGTTTTAAATATCCTTCTATTTGTCATGCATTCCTCTCCATCACAGCATCTTTTCTATCAGCTTTATAACATTGCATGGTATACACATATCCTACTGTATTTAGCCAACTACTCCAGTGTCACACACTTAGAATTGTTCCCGTTTACTTAATTTAATGATACTGTAATATTTATCCCTATAGTTAAATCTTAGGGTACAGTAATAATAGTGATGATGATTTTTTTTTTAACCACAGATTCCAAGAAATAAAGTCGACCGGATAAAGGCACAGCACTTTTTATAGTGAATGATAGTTACTTCTGGTTGTTTCTTCAGAAAGTATCAATGTATTCATCTACTACCTGATGTATAGCACAGAATATTAATGTTAGTTTATTATTTAGATTAAATACTGTTTCATATGCCAGTTAGACATTGTATTTATTATTTTTTCTAATTGCTTGTTCATTCCAACTGTCTTTTCCTACTGACTTGTTTGTCTTATTGATTTGTAATAATTCTGTCTGTGTGTAGACTATGAAACTTTTGCTATCGTCAGTATTATATGCTCTTCATTTGTCATTTTTTCATCTTTGAGATTTAATTAAAAAGAATATATGACTGCATATGACTTTGAGTGTGCTTTTAGATATAACTTGTTTTTAAAACTGAAAATTTTGATTCTTCAGAAGTAAATGTGAATGCAAAAGCATAGGTTATTGCATGTCAAATATTCAATTTTAATAAAAAATACAGTACAAATAAAGACTGCTCCACTTAAGTCCAAACAAAAGTAAAGCATTACTGAACATTTTTAGCTAATCATTACATGTTCTTTCATTCTCTTAAAAAGCTACCTGTGAAATCTTCCTGTATTACAGAACGAGATATGCACTATGAATCCTAAACAAGACATCCTATTTTTTTTTTACATGAAATACCTTCTCTAAGTTGTGTATTTGCTTTCCACATAGAAAACATGTAATGCTCAATCAATATTTCTAGAAGAAATTTAGACTAACTCAAACTAAGTATATGTTATCGTTTGTTACACCAACATTACTCCTGATAATAATTTAAATTAAAAAATGAGAGTTAATTCTCCTTTCCCACTTGGCCATTTTGGTCCAGTGTCTCAAGAATTCTTTCTAAAGGATTCCCTTGGTTGTAATTGGCTTGGTGGTCCTTAATTCTTGTTATCATTCTATGCTTGCAACATGTGCCTGTTGTTTCTGGAAAAATGTATTGTGAACTACAAGCTTATGCTATTTCTTAGCACTTGTATGTCATTCTTAACACACACAAGATGATTTGCATTCATTTGTAATCATTGTTCTTTGCAAAATACTGGTAAGAGGGCTATTATAATAACCACCATTTTGCCCATGGGGAAACTGAGACCCAGAAAGGTTAAGTGACTTACCCAAAGGCATACAGTGAATTGATGGCAGAGCTGGAATTGCAGGCGGGCATCCTTAGAGGTTGTCTATTGTTCAGCACACTCAGCAACAAGGCCTCTCGGCAGTGCGTTCTTTCTTCCAAGCATCACATTTTCTTATTCCTTCGCTAAACAATTATTTAAGAACATGTGACCTGCTTATAATACAAGGTTAGAATAATAATATCTTTTCTTCTATTTTTTCCTTCTCTTACTTAAATGTATTATTCCAACAACTTGGAAATAGGTGGGAAACAGAGAAATCACTCAAGCTTTTTACATGGAAAACAATTGAATGACATCATTGAAGAATCCAAAAGTGTATCTTGTCTTTTCCCTTAGGGGATGGGAAATGCACTCAAGTGAAAAGGAAAACTGTGTACTTTTGTACACTCATTTATGTTTACATAATAAGAGGTGAAGAAGAAATATTAATAGTATCACAAATAAGTGCTGTGATTTCAAAGTCTTTGTAATTCTTCAGAGTGACTAAACAGTGTACAATGCAAAGTCTGTAGGGATATTAATTCCAAGTGATCCTTCAAATTTATTTTGGCACTACAATTTTTTTAACCACTCCAGGTACTATAAAACTGTTAAATGGTATAAAACTATACTAATTAAACTGTTGAAATAACAGGTTATTAGTGGAAAAGGATTTTCCAGTTTTAAGTAATCAAAGAACAGAATGAATTATCCTTTGCAATGTTTTCTTAAAGTATAGACTAGTATTGTTTTCAAGATTAAATTTTGGGGGGAGTTTGGGGATTTTGCATGTGTATATGTTTCCAAGATTAAATTTTGGGGGGAGTTTGGGAATTTTGCATGTGTATATGTTTCCATATTGATTTTGTGGATGTCAAATCAATACTGTATTCAGAAAGAATAACATGCTATAACTTAGAAATTCCTATCTCCTCCTTCTCTCATGCCCCCATTTTCCATTTTAAAGAAATTTTGTGTTTGTCCTATTTAGAATACTGTTTGTGGATAATTTCCCTACATTTTAAAAGATATAGTTTTAGCTCCTATTTTATGTACATTATTTAAAAATATAATTTTAATAGGGATCTTTGGAAAGAACATGAAGGATATGAACAGAATTGTTGTTCAACTTAATTTAGGACCCTAATTTAGAACATATATCATGTTCTTTTTGCTTCCAAATGGCTTTTTAGTAATCCTCTGCTCCAAGAAGTTATCAATTCTTACCCACCCTCAGGAAGCAAGTCACGTGTATTCAAACGTAATCAGATTAACAGAGAAACTTAATCCGACTTACCTTAGAAGTAAGATTTTTTTCTCCAGCTTTCAGGAATAACACTTAAATACGTATTTATCTAATTTTGTGGTTTTGTATAGAGTATTCAGTCACATTGCTTCCTGGAGAGGCTACTCATATCTGCTTTCTCCTTACTCCACAGTGTTCTTCCTACCTCAGGAAAAATTGGAGATAAGAAGAACTCACCGTCTTTTAGGCAACCCTAGGCTTCAGATTTCAGAGAATAATAAAAAAGGAAAATCAATGAAACAAACAAAAGATCCTTCAGATTACCCCAAGTCAAGTGGCTCATGCCTTTTATATGGAAGCATAACCTTTCCCTCTCCCATCATCTCCTCTCTGCCTTTCTAGCCACCTCTTTGGATTATTTATAGTTCCCCCTTCCCTACCTACTCACCACCTCTTTTTTTGTGTGTGACTACTTCCTCTCTACCCAACAAAGGAGGAAGCTTGAGATACATTATTACTGTGGGGTGGGGGGGCGGTTCCCCTGCCTCTGGGAGGGTGAAGGGAATCAGGTTGAACAAGCAACGTCACTGGCCTGTGTCCCCTCTGCTCACCTCTTGTCGCTGAGGCTGGGGACCAATCAACCACCTTAACTTTTGCACCTTGTGCCTTGGAGCTGTGGAAATCGAACTGTCCAGCCACAGTAGAGTAGACCAGGAAGGCAGGCTTTATAATCACTGTCTTTCTTCTCTCTTTTTTTTTTTTTGAGATGGAGTCTCCCTCTATCGCCCAGGCTGGAGTGCAGTGGCGCGATCTCGGCTCACTGCAACCTCTGCCTCCTGGGTTCAAGTAATTCTCCTGCCTCAGCCTCCGGAGTAGCTGGGACTATAGGTGTGCGCCACCATACCTGGCTCATTTTTCTATTTTTAGTAGAGATGGGGTTTCACCATGCTGACCAGGCTGGTCTCGAACTCCTGACCTCATGATGCATCCGCCTCGGCCTCCCAAAGTGCTGGGATTACAGGCCTGAGCCACCGTCCCCGGCTCTTCTCATTTTTAACAGCATAGCTTGGGCCTCGTGCGAGTCCTTGTGTGATGTGATTTGGAAATCTTAAAGAGGATATGGAGCTCAGGGGCCCCTCAAATTCTCAGCACCCAGCAGAATGTGCTATTGCTTAGGGTAGTAGTAAATCTCCCACACTCTCATCACCTGTCCTGTGTTCAGCTCTGTCCTCTACATGATCATACTCTGACCTCCAAAATAATTAAGAAAAAGAGAAGCTCCTTCAACCTCAGCATGTGCAAACACAATTTCAGAGGTAAATAGTTACCATGTCTAGCAATCAACTCTTTGGGCTCATTTGATTGAAATTCATGAGTTTGGGGAGAATATGACAGGCTAAGGAGTTTGGCAGCCCCAAGCCTGCAATGAACATAAACTCCTGAACCACCCTATGAAAACCAGATACCTGGCTACATTTATCGATGTTATTTTGTCTAACTCTTTTTAACATACATTTTTTTCCCAGTTAAAATCTCACTGAAAGCCTCATATAAGAGTCCCTCTCTCTCCAGCCCTCCTTCTCCCTCTATTTCTCTGTCTGTTCCCTGGAGAAATTAAAAAAAAAAAAAAAAAAGAGCATATTGACGCTAAATAAAAACCAGAAAGAGCAACCTTATGTCATTTATTTCTCTGAAATTGAAAAAAAAAATCATTTTTCCCCTTAGAAAACTGTTCTGGTTTAAAATAAAAACACTTCAAAAGGTACTTTGCATTATATGTATGTCTTCCATGAGAAACAACACCCACATCTAGTGATTTTCTCATCTTGTCCCCGTCTGACAAGATCTGTACTAAAATATATTAAAAAAGGAAAAAAAAAGAAAAAAAAAGATAAAGAAGAAAGAAAAAAGTGGGGGAAAAGCTGACTGGGAGCAGCAGAAATCTCTCCCTCAGGCCGGGGGCCTTTCCTTTCTCTCCGGGGCAAGGGTGGGGGCCTCAGCCTGGGCTTCCTGGGGCTCCAGCTCTGAGACCCCGCGACCTTCTGACTCTGGGGCCCCCTGGGTTCTCCGACTTCAGCTCTCACCTCATTCATTCAGCTCGACCTGGGAGCCGGGCTCAGCTTCCCTCCTGGAATTCACCCCGGGACCCTGCTATTGTCCCTCTCGTCTGACCTCTGCTACGCTAAGTTCCAACAAGGTGATCTGGAAAACGCGCCACTCGCTCCCTGGCGGGCTCCCGGACTCGCCTTTTCGCGCCCTCGGCGGCGGCTCTTTTCTCCAGGGGGGACCACCTAGCGCTCGGCTTTGCACGGCCAATTTATGGCGCTGTCAGGAGCTCGGGCGCCGCGCCCATTGTGCGGGACGCCGCGCCTGACCCCGCCGCCAGCGCCGTGTAGCCCGATTGTTCCCTCATTAGGGCGGCCGGGAGCGGCGGAAAGGCTCGCGGCCCTTTCCCACAATCCCTGACAATGTGCGACCGCAGGCTTGTCACAGTCGCAGGCGAGGAGAAATGGAGAGGATGTGCCACCGAGTGGGGCGCAAGGGACATCGCATTCCCACGCAAGGAAGGGGGAGAAAGCCACCATTCAAACACCCAAATCCAAACTGCAGACCTTGCACCGCCTGGTGTAGTTTTTTTCTGAGGTTTTGGTGGCGGCTGTCAAGACTCACAGGAAATACCCTAGGGGAAGACTCCACAGCGCCTTCCAAAGAACTAAATCAACGCTTGAGCCCAGGAGTTCGAGGCTCCAGTGAGCTGTGATCGCACCACTGCACCCAGTCCTGGGGCCCAGAGTAAGACCCTGTCTCAAAACAACAACGACAACAAAAAAACAAACCAAACCAACACACACACACACACACACACACACCCCCCTAAATCAAGAGTTGCAAAGAGCCAGACAGCCGGTGAACTTGGGCAGAGGAGAGCTCTGTGCACAGGGGCAAGAAGTGCCCAGATGCAAGCGGGGCTGAACTGTGCACTCTCGGGGGCCGGGGCTGCGGCCACGTGGAGAAAGCAGGAAGGAAGCGGGCGGGGCCGTCAAGCAGGCCTAGGGCGATCAGCACTGGCACAGGCTGCCTTCACAAGCAGGAGCCATCCGCAGTGTAGCAATCTCTTTTCCAGCCTTGCTCCTAGAAGGAGCCAGCTGATCCTTTTCCCTTTCGTGTTCTTTGCCCCACTGTGCCTGTTGCTGCTGTTCTTTCCCAGTGATGCCTCCCAGAGAGGTGAGGCAGCCTGAACACCACACTTCCACGCTCTCACTTTTCCTCCTGGCCAACCAAGCGAGGACACTGCCCAGACAGCCCTTCTCTCTCCCCCTCCTCCACCGGCCTGTTGCGTTGAAAGGGCCTTCTCTAAAACTGCAAATAAAGAGCACAGCTTCAGAGAAACCGGGCAAAGGCTCAAGGGGAAGGCACAAAAAGGACTATCTCTGTCCTGTCTGTCCTGGCGCTTAGATGTATACAAAAAGCTACGCTCAGATTCTTAGGTCTGTGAAATGCTATTTGAGTTGAAACACAATACCCGCCTACAGGGCATGCATAGAAAGTGATTTTAGGCGGCAATAACTTAGGGTAATTCTCTCTATTTTATAAACATCATTAGCTCCCCTTATGAGATAATCCAAAAAGATTCAACGTTTCTTTGCACTTTCTCAAAAAAGTGAATTCTGGGGCTAAGGCCGTAAGCCACCGCATTTATTAGCAGGTGATTCAAAATTGCACACCCAAAGGAAAACTTCGCGAAGTTTCAGGGATGTTGTGCACAGACTTTTAACTTTAAAACTCTTCTCAAAACTGTGTTTTTGAATTGAAATGTGTTTATTCCTTTAACAGAATATAAAGCTAGAATTGAAAAGAAAAGAGTTTATATTTCAAGATAAGATTTGTATAGAATATGTCGAAAGATATCAATTGTCTATATTTAAACTACGGTTGAGAAATTCTAAGTACTCCAGAATTTGAAATTATTCTTAAAACGGAACTAAAGATATTTTCATGATGGAAAAATAATGTGAATTAAGCTTCTTAAAAAAAGACCAAGTCTCATCTTTGGGGTGCATGTTGTCCTGTTATTTTGTCCGAAGCTTTCTTGACAGAGTGAAAAGGGTTTTAGGTTCTCGTGTTTACTATTATAACAAGAACTAGGGTACAATTTGTGTGAGTTTATAAAATCTATTGCAAAGATGATTTTGGTTGTGGCAGTTTTCCTTTCTTGCTTTTAGCAGATGGCTTTCTATCGACTGTTAACTTTAAAATCAAATGTGTAAAGCTTTTTATTTAAAAGAAAATAGTGATCTTAATTTGAGGTACATTGTGTGTAGTCTTAAAGTTTGTGATGGCCGGTTTATGGTGGTGGGGAGTGTTTCTTTGTAACTTTGAGTTTTCTCTGAGTCTTTAAATTTCACTGTTCTTGTAGTTCTGAGCTAGTATATCTGCACTTGATCTGGGCCCAAACATATTTTGATTGTAAATAAAAAGTCTTCTTTTATGAGGATGTTCACTTCGCAGCTTGAGCAGTGTAATTTTTATACAGGTCTCAGCAATCAATAAAAAAGCCACAGGAGGAATGATTTATCTTGTTGGTTACAGAGACTGTCACCGAGAGAAATTGTAAAAGATCAATTTACACAACCTGGTGTGAGAATGTTATTGATATAACACGGTTGATCGGTTTCTGGTTGTCTGTGCGCAGGCACGGCGGAGGGAGCACCACCACCACTCGCCAAGGTCTTAATAGACTCCGCGCTCCATAAAGTGGACACAGAGCCAGTGACGGCGGAGAGGGCCCGGCGGGCGCCCACCGGCATTGGCTGCGCTCCGATTACTTCGTTAAGCAGTGTCATGCTTCTTCTTCTTCTTCTTCTTCTTTTTTTAATTTTTCCCTCCTACTGTGAGAACTGTTCACTTGGAGACTCCCTGTCCTAATTACAAAGAGCCCTTTTAACCACAGGTCACAGGACTTGGCTCTCTTGACAGGAAATAAGGAAACAAGCTACCTTCCTGGAAAAAAAAATTCAAACTTCTACTTCTCAGATTAGTTAAATGAAGCTTGTCGACGGTTGGGAGTTGAGTCTTATGACAGTTGGTTAATCGCAGTTGGTACATTAACTATGTTTTAACCAGAACTGTTTGGGATCTAAGTAGATTCAAAAAATAAGGCAAGCCTAGGCACGTCCCACGAAAAACACCTAAAATAACCACAAAGTTGATATTGGTTTTACTTGCTATAGGTATTACAATACAAAATAGATTCCTGTACCTTTAACACTGTAGTTAAGTAAATTTACAAACATTAACATTTTTTAAATGACACTAAAGCTGCTTTAAATCCTAGGAAGGCCTCCCTCTCTCTCTCTCTCTCTCTGCTCTTTCTTTTTTGATTCTACCTTCAAAATGTCCTCTGTCTATATTTTTTATATTAAATATTCTCTGCAAAGTCTATCTAGTAAATATCTGGTTCCAAGTCTGTGTACACCATTCTCAAATATAAAACTTTTCAAATGAAGATAAACCTTTAGTTGAATTGGTTTATTTTCTGATTTGATTCTTTAATGTTATTATAGAAGATGGAATATCATTTGCAGTAACATTAAAAAAACTCTGGTGGTTTTCTTATTGAAAGACTATTATAATAACAAGCAGAAATAAAGCAACCAAGATTTAGAAAAATATCAGTGTTTTTGTGTGTTTATTATTTGCACTAACATATAATGTCAGAATGATAATTATAGTGTGGCCTGAGTTACAAGAATATAAAAGAATAAAAAGTCTAAGAAGAAAAACTTCCAGTGTAGACTTTCAGTTATGATTTTAGTCATATTTTTTCATGTAGGTTGTCTTTCTAACAGATTCCACATTTCTGTGTGTGAGCGTGTGCATGTGTGTGTGTGTGCACGCGCGCCAAGTCTTTTATATTTAAACCCTGTTGTTGCCATTTTCATTTCCGTGGGAAACATACACACATACACAAAAACACACACATCTTTTACTTGGAAGATGGATGAATCCTGTGCTTTCTGAACACCTACTTAAAAGGTAAGAATCGACTAGTTTTGTGCATGCTATTAGATCGAATTTTAATTGCTAAATGTCCAATTAGTATTTATTTGCTTTTGTTTACAGAAGAGTGAATAAATGTGATTTTGCTTTCATATTTCTGTATATTAAAATTACATAATAGCTCTCATTGTCTTTTCATTAGCTAAAATTAGTCCTCAGATCTCTCACCGCATTCATTATAAACTGAACACAAACAAAAGACTGCTCACAAAATATGCTTTCCTTTCATTTTCCCCCTACCCAAGCTCTTTCATGGCATGTGGATATTCCTATCTCAATATCAATGATGCCTGTAATCTGGCATCAGAAAACTTTGCACTTATTTCCTCTTCAGGGCTTTAACGGAATCAGCATTCATGTTATGTAGCTGGGAAGAACGCTGCAACTCTCCAGTGGGAGCAATGTTCCCTCCAGATCAGAGAAATAAGTCCTCGATTTTTTTCACAGCTGGAGAAGACAAACTTGCTCTTATCTTCAACTCGTGTCTTTTCCCCCCCCCATAAATGCAGTTTCCATTCCGGCCACTCTCCTGATGGCTGCGGGCCCTATGGTGGTCTAGTACTGACTGTTCTCTGCCCCAGTCCTCCTCCCAGCTCCACCCTCCTAACCAGACCAGCCCCTCCCCAGCCTCCTACAGATCCAAGTTAAAATGCAATTTCCTGCTTTTGATAAGTAGACACTATCCAGCCAGAACAAAACAGAACACTCTGATACAATTGTCTCATGGCCAAAGGCAAGGGCAACTCCCACCCTTCAAGTCTCCCCTCGTTTAATCCAAGCAGGAAATGCAATTCTGATTTTTATTCCTGTATTTTTTTTTTTTTAACATTTTTTTTACTATACTCTCTGGGAACATATTGACAGGGTCTGTGCATGCAAATCATCGAGGGATGCGAGGCCAAGATCCTAATTACAGGAACATTTCCAACAATCCCACTCATCCTATCAATGCAAACATTTATAGATACTTCTGATCTTGAATTCGCAACTAATCAGAAGTACCCTACTTCAAAGCTTCAGAAATGTGTTTTCATACCAGACATGATAGTCTACCAGAATGTACCTTATTTTGGGAGGGTGCCAAACTACATAGAAATATGGCCACATGACTTTCCGTGGGAGCTACCTGGCTGCATTCTCTCTGCTTAAGACAATCAGTTCCTATTCAATAACCATTAACCTTATTTGTTTGTCTCTGCTTTTCTTGAAGTAGCTAAAGTACATATAGTTATGAATAAAGCTCTCTAGGTTGTTTCATAGTGCACACAGTAGGCAGATGGAAGGGAGCTACATAATTAATCAACCAACATGTTTCTTCAGCATGTAAAGCACGCTAATCACCCCCAAAGGAGTAACAGAAGAATGGAAGACATGGAGTTTTACTGGAAAGAGCTCATAAATTGGTTGGGAAGAAATAGTGCTCAAGAGTAAAGAGTAAATATGAAATTGGTTGAACTGACTCTGTGTTTTTCAGGAGAGTGTTGATGTCAAAGATAGAAATAATTTTGTTTGAAGGAAATCAGAATGGAGAGGATTAGAGATGAAGAAAGAGCATAGGAGATGGTGTGAATGAAGGAATGACTCTGCCATGGTCTTGAGATGGACCCATATTATGCACCGTGTAGTGATGGGAACAAGGCGGAAGGATAGGCGGCCAGCTTGTGAAGAGTTTTAATGGGTATACCAGATGTTGAATAAATGTCTAGTGATTAAGTAAATGAGCTGAGATTTGAGGCAGTAGAATGTAAACCAACGAGTAGTTCTGGGCAGTAGCATGGCTTAATGAAAGAGACCTTTTCAAGATACTGCTTAGACAGCTGTGGGCTTGCTGTCTGTTGGGGTGTGTATACGTGGCCGGAAGGAGCATGGGTGCAAAAAAGGAGAGTGCAAAAAAGGCAATGGTTACGGTTATCAGGTGACAGATAATGAGAACCTGAAATAGAATAACAGTGGAAATGAGAAAAGAGAATGTTTCAGAAATTTCAGAGACAAAAAAAGCCTGGCCCTGAGTGGGCAGTCAAAACGAGGTTGATGATAGACAACGTGAGTACTGGAAATGAGATGGCCCCAGATTTGGAGACTAACATCATGGTTGTGCCACTGGCAGGGGGGGATTTTCTGATTTGGTTGGGGAAGAAGTACACAATTTGGGACAAGTATGAGGAAGAAATTGTAAACATTTCAAGTAAAACATCCAATAGAAAGTTAGACATTGACTAGATTTTGGTTAAAAGAGTAGAACTGGAGATACCTGTGTGAAGTCATGAAGATCTTATATTGGTTTGAGCGTGGTGACTCATGCCTGTAATCCCAGCACTTTGGGAGGCCAAGGTGGGTGGATCACCTGAGGTCGGGAGTTCAAAACCAGCCTGATCAACGTGGAGAAGCCCTGCCCCTACTAAAAACACCAAATTAGCTGGGCGTGGTAGCACATGCCTGTAATCCCAGCTACTTGGGAGGCTGAGGCAGGAGAATAACTTGAACTTGGGAGGCGGAGGTTGCAGTGAGCTGAGATCACGACACTGCACTCCAGCCTGGGCAACAAGAGCAAAACTCTGTCTCAAAAAAAAAAAAAGGAAAAAAAAAAAAGAAGATCTTATATTAATCAGTAAATCCTGCACGTAGCCTGTATCTACATGCATTTAATCTGGGTTTGAAGAGGAACAGGCTATATTTAGTCACATAACTTTTTATTTTTAATTATGAAAGTAGTATATGCAGATTAAAGTAGCATAGAAATAGCATACAAATATAATGTATGTAATCTAAAATAAGCAAAATGAAATCTTTTTAGACTGAAGCAGGCTCTATTATTATATTTTTGGGAGTAAAAGACTCATCCCATTTTAGCATTTTTAAAATAAACCATAAAGATGTGTGGACAGAGAAATGTGAAAAATGCAACATCTCATCCTGCTAAACAAAGTGCCCTATACTGAAAGTTCTCCACACTCACTCATGTTTCACAACTAGGAGTTTATGAACACTGAAAAACATCTTTTGAGGAAAAAAGGAGTTGAGTGAGTGATTGATGTAATAAAAGCAGGACTCAGGGTCAAATGACCAGGCAACACATTTCAGGCATGTAACTAGGCACCATGGTGCTTCTCAAAGCCTCGTTTGTTTAGGAGAGCTATGTTCTTTCAAACAGTACCTTTACTTCAATTTTTGCCAAAATTAACAGTAGGAAATGAAAAAAATATATAAAGTTATTTATGTGACAAGCATTCTAATGACAATGGAAATTTAGCTATTGACAGTATTGCCAGCTCCATTGTGAAAAGAGTATTTCGTATAAAGAATGTTTTAATTTTAATTTGAACTGACACCACTTAAGACTGAAGTAATTGATATTGAGTAAAACTGAAAAATAGCAACAAACTAGTTATAATAATAACACCGTGAAACCCTTTTAAAAGCAAATGCATAGAGTCATAAGTGACAGTCCTCTCCTTTCCAGAAGGCTTGATCTGATCTTGGGTGAAAGAACTCTAAATTATTTGTGAATTAATGATAGGAAAACTAAAGTTATAATAGGGGAGACCTACCAGACATAGACACAAGAACAAAATAAAAAAGGAAAGAAAAATATATTTGTGACAAAACACTTAGGGCTCATTTAAAATTCTATGACACAGTAGATGAGGACATCTGACCTGCTGAGATTAACTGAAAGCACTTTCAAATTATTAAACCTTGAGCTTATTTTAAGTGTGAGGTCGTATGAATATCCTAAAAACCTTTGTAATCAAAACACAGTTATATGAAGCCAAAGAATACTGATATCCTCAAAGAGAAACAAACAAATTTCATCCGTGAATGTAATAGAAGAAACTATTCATGCCTAAGAAGAATTCATAGGAAATTAAGAATAGAAGAAAATGTACTGGTCCTTATTTTAAAAATTGTGGTTATGTACACATAACACAAAATTTACATTTTTAGCTATTTTTAAGTTCACAGTTCAGTGGCATTCACACTGTACATTCAAGTTGTTGGGCAACCATTGCCACCATCTATCTCTAGAACTATTTCATCTTTCCAAACCAGACTCTACCCGTTAAATACTAACTCCCCATTCCTTCCTCCCTCCCTCCCCTTGCAACTCTCATTCTATTTTCTGTCTCTGTGAATCTACTCTAGGAACTTCATATAAGTGGAATCATATGGTAGTTCTCTTTTTGTGACTGTCTTACTTCACTTAGAATAATGTCTCAAAGATTTATCCATGTTGTAGCCTGTGTCAGAATCTTCCTTTTCAAGGATAACATTTCATTCTTTGTGTAGCCCACGTTTTGTTTATCCATTCAGCTGTCGACATACGAGTTGCTTCCACCTTTCAGTTATTGCAAATAATGCTGCTAATGGCATGGGTGTGGAAATATCTTTTTGAGATCCTGCTTTCAATTTCTGCGTTATGTACCGGAGGTGGGATTGTTGGATCATACGGTAGATCTACGGTGAATTTTTTGAGGCCACCATACTGTTTTCCACATCAGCTACACCATTTTACACTCACATCAGCAATAAAAAGGGTTCTAATTTTTCTACAACCTCACATCCATCTTTCTCTCTCTCTCTTTCTTTTCTTTCTTTCTTTCTTTCTTTCTTT